ACCCAGGAATCCCCAACAACAACAGGGCAGCCACCATCCCTCAAAGCCCAGCCTTGCCCCCCATAGACGTCCAGGACCCCATCCCACAGGGTAGAGCAGCACGACCAGTGGAGATCTCAAAGGGGACACAGAGGAGAGCTGGCTGCAGGGTCAGCCATGGGGATAAGTCAGGGGAGTCCTGGGGTAGCTGGATCTTGTGGGGCACGAGCCCCCAGTCGCCCCCGGCACATGCTGCAGGCTCAGCAGCTGGGCAGTGCTGCTCCTCAGGCACTAAATCTCCATCCTCCTGGGGCACTGCACAGTGGAGGAAGCGAGGGAACCATGAGCGCTGAACCAGACACGGGAGCGAGAGAATAAATAAGGATAAGGGAAGCACAGGAGCGAGGGGGGCAGCAGATCGGTCTCCGGGGCCCAGCGGGCTCTGACATCTCCAGGCCCATAATCATATTCAGAGCAGTGCCGGGCAGAGGCAGCTCTCCTCCAGCACGGCAATAAACGAGAGCAACACTCTCAATAATTCAGCACTGGGAGAGGTGATAAAGCAGCAAAGGCACCACTGCAGGCAGCTGAGGTGGGGGGCTCCTTGCTCCCTCTTATATTTCACTGACCCAAACCGTCTCCTCTCTGTGCTCTGCAAATGCAGCTTCAGCCATGTCTTGGGGTCCCCCCAGCCTGCCAGACCTCCCCTGCTGTTGTGTGAGACAGACAGAGGGGGCAAATGCAGCAGAATGGAACTCCTCAATCACCAGCAGCCAAAATCCAGGTTGTCAGTGGGCAGGGGGGCAGAATCATCCTGGAACCAGGGCAGGGGCAGATGCACCTCCCCAGTGCTGTTCCACCCTCTGCCGCTGCAGCCCCCCAGCCCTGCACACACCCCTCAGCCCGAGGTGCCCGTGCAAACAGCACCCAGCTCCCTGTGCCACATCTCAATTCTCCCACCCAGACCAGTTGTGGGGCAGCTCAGCCGCAGGAACCCACCCTGCTGCCCTCCCCTCCGCCGCAGACACGTCTCCTCTCCGGACACACCCGTGTGGCCACAGCTCCAGCACCGCAGCCGCCGGACCGACCCGCGATTCCCGATCCCGCACGCAGTCGGACACTGGGAGGGAGCAAAGCCCTCTCCTCAGCACAGGGAGTGCTGCCAAGGCATCAGCACAGACACGAGAGCCAGAGGTGGGGGCAGCCCCGGCCCTGCAGCCCACACCACTGCTGCCAACCAGCACGTGCCCCCCAGGCTCACACCCACAGCCCAGCCTTCATCCCGTTCATGCTGGCTCCTGGTTTATGCTGCCTGCGAGCCCTGCTCCTGCCCCAGCCTTCCTGCTCCTTTGAGCAGCTCTTTATCCACATTTCCCACAGCACCTCAGGACCCTTCCAGACCACAGTCCCCTCCCAGCATGTCACTTCCAACCTTGTCCTGTAGGTGACAGGGACGGGAGTGCTACCTGCCCCAACACCTCTTTCTGCATTGGTTTGCATGGTGGCAGCTCCCAGTGCCCAGAACCACTGCCTTGGCCCTCACCACTCCTTGGTCCCACTGGCATCCCCAGTCCATGCCAGGACCCAGAACAATGGATGCACCAGCCTCCTCCTCCCCAGCCCCTCAGCTTTTTTTGCTCCTCTGCTTCACCAGCTTTGAGAGGGGAGCACAGGTTGTGCTACGCTCAGCGGGATGGACCTTGGGGGGATGTGGTGTCCCCTCTGCGACAGGATCCTCCTACTGCCGTGAAGTCCAGCAACACGAGGGTATGATGGGAAGGAGTCATTCTCATCTGCCCAGCAGACACCAGGCTGGCAGAGGGCAGCCCATCTGGCCCACCTTTCACACGCAACCTGCCTCAGCCCAGGGGACACCATGAGCTGCTGTGACACCTCCCAGCACAGGCTGCAGGACCCTGGGGGCAAACATCCCCTGTGGTGGGCAACCGCCAGGTCTGGGCCACTATAGGGCTGGGGGCTGCTGCCCCCCCAGTAAGGGCAGGGTCCCCTCAAGAGGCTTCCCCAGGGATGGCTCCCAGGAGCTGTACAGAGCATGGATGGACAGACAGACAGCAAGTCAGCACACACGGACACTCACAGACATGGCAGCCTCAGCTCTCCTCACGCAGGACTTATGTCATCGTGTCATGCCTGCGTGGGGGCTCAGGGGGTGGGGTACTGGGGCCGCTGGCAGAGGGGAGCAGGCAGCCTTCCTCCCATCCCTCCCCCAGCATGGCTCTGAGCCCACCTGCCCCTGACCACTGCTCTGCAGGCTGAGGTGCTGCCCCGTCCCGGCCAGCCTCGTGCCGAGCACCCATCACCTGCCCCTCACATGCAGGGTTTAGCGTGCAGGAGGGACCCCTGGAGCAGCCAAGGCAGAGCCCAGTACAGCCACTTGGATCCAAACACTCCGTACCTTTTATTCAGCTCAGTTCCTCCCACGGTGCTCGCGCTGGGGTCTCTAGAAAAGACGGGAAAGAGGAGGAAGAATTAAAATCAATGAACATCATCACTAACCTGTTACAGTCAATGCTGTCTGCTCATCGACTGCACAATGTTGGGATATGAGTGAGTGTTACCTCCCAGGCGCTGGGAAGCCTGTGCTGGTCAGGAGCCAGTGGCCAGGCTGGGGACTCAAGCCAGGGCAGATGAGCAGCACCAGCACCCACCAGCTCCCTGGACAGGCTCAGAACACCTGCCTCCAGCTCCATCAGTGCACCTCAAACCCAACCCAGCTCCCACAGACCACGGGCCCCTTCCTTGGCCCCCTGGACCCTGCAAGCACAGCCATAGACCTGCACACATACACGGGGTGAGACAAGGCACAGCTGGCCCCACACACATCCACGACGTGGGACAGGACACAGCCATCGTTGAAGCCATGGCTGCACAGCTGGTTTGGTGTATCCTAAACCTTCTGTCCACCCCAGCACAGTGACATGGTCCTGTGAAGAGCAATCCCTGCAGCACACAGCTCTGCTGCCGTCCTGGCTCCAGGCACTTGGAAAATTAAGCCAAATTTCAAAGAAAACTTTCTGAAAGCTGCACTTCAACTAATTAGCTTTTGCAGCATGGCCAATGCAAACGTTCATCAATCATGTCAGACCCTCAGAAATAATGAGAACGGCTGATACATCCCAGGAGTGGTTAAGGAGTGAGCGAGGACTGCGCGTGTCCATAACCACTGATTCGGTGACCTGGAAGTGCTGAGTCTCACCTGCCCAACAACTCCGTTCCCAACTGATGGAGCTGTGACACCTGGACCCCCACGCCAGGAGCAGCACCCTGAGATGAGGCAGCCCTGGGTGCTGAGTGTGGGTGCAGGGACACCAGGCCCAGATGCTGCCCCAAACCCGCGGCCGATCCCGGTGAGGGTCCGGAGGCCCAGCCACACGTGGTGGCGGCTCAGGGAGCGCAGAGCTGGTTCCCAGGCACTTGTGTTAGCAAACACGGCTCTCAGCCACGCAGCAGGATAATCAATTATGGTAATTCCTGCCTCAATGAATCAGATTCATGGAGGAGCACAGCTCATTAGGCTGGTGCTGACTTCCATTAGCACTCTTATGATAAAATCCCTCCCAAATGCTCTTGCCCAGCACGTTTTGTTTGCCAGGCTGGGAGTCTCCCCTCCCCAGCCCCAGAGGCCAGGGCAGATCCAGCTCTGCAAAACGGGTGTCCTAAAAAAGCTGTTTGGGAACTCCGTGGTTCCCAGCAGTGTGGGGACACCCCCGCAGTCGTGGGCTCAGCAGAGCCGCCTGCCTTGCAGCCACCACTCCTGAGCTCTTCCGTGGCTTCGCCAAAGCAGCGCCCACCAGGATCCCGGCTGGGACCGCGAGACGGCACAGCAGGCACAGAGCTCCAGCAGCGGGGCTGGGAGGGCTGGGAGCACAGCCTGCCTCTTCCGCAATGAATAATTGACACCGTGCGCTCCTGGGGGAGGCTCAGCGATGGGTAACGCCGCATTTCCCAAACACATTTCCCAAGGAAGGCGCCTTCTGAGAAGCTCCCCGGGGCAGCGCGGGCCCGGCAGCCGGGATGCGCCGCAGTTGGGATGTGCTGTGCTCGCTGGCACAGACAGGGAATCGCCGAGCCCAGCACCAGCCCAGGCAGAAATCTCTGGTGGTCCCGGCACTGCAGGGAGCGGGATGCTCAGCCAGGGCCTCCCTGTCCACAGGCACCGAAGTGGGAGAGGGAAACCCCTGGCAGAGCATTGATGGGAGGTGGGCAGGAGCAGCTCTGGGCGTTACTGGGGAGATCTTGCCTCAGTCCCTGCTTTCCTGGCAGAGCTCTGGGCTGACTGGCTCCAGCTGGAGCCTTGTGAAGCCTCACAGGGACCTGCTGCCAGAACAGGTGATCCCAACCCAGCTAAAACCACCCAGATCCAAATCAGGGGGGCTTCACAGGAGACACAACCCATGTCACCCAGCTGCATGGACCCCACAGATGCTGCACCCCAACACCCCCCATCCCACGCTGCACCCATGGGGCACACCCTGAGGCAGGCCTGGTTTTGATCTGCTGGGAAACTTCTTGGTAGTTTCTCAAAGTACATTTTGACCCCCCTTTCCTCCACCAAAAATCCTAAATTAATTTTGATTTTAATTAAATTCATTAGCAAAGATTATCTGGCTGAGGAAAAATAATGTCTCGCCCCTCCCCCCGCAGCCCTCTCTATTTATATCCCCATATACAGAACAGCAGCGAATATTTCTTTATGGGCCATTAAAGGTTTAATGTTTAATTTATAACCACGTTCTCCGGCGGGTGGGATGGCCAGGCACAATGTCAACACTTTTAATTAAATGAGAATTTTTATTTTTTTTTTTAACTAAGAAAGATAAAATGCCCCGTTCCCAGCAGCGTTGGAGGTGGGGGCAGGAGGGGCAGGGGCTGGGATGGGGGCTGGCTCCTGCACCACAGATCTTCGAAGATGTGCCTCCCCTCTATCCTGCTCTGCCCACGGCTGAGCCTGGGCTGTGCCACGCTGCTGGTTGAGAGTGGAGGAGATGATCATGCAGTGCCCAGAGGAGCCCAGCTCTCACGGCAGGGCTGGTGAGGGGCCATCACCAGGACAGCTCTAGGACTGGTCAGGAGAATCCTTGAACCAGTGGCTCCAGTCTGGAAAGAGCAGTCCTATCTTGGGGACGGGGATGAAACATGGCACTGCTCCCACTTTGGGAACCCCCTCCCAAATCCGGCTGTGGGGACAGGCAGGGTCCCAGCACAGGGCTGAGCACCAGCTCCAGCCGTGGACCACGGTGAGGGGCGGCTCCAAGCAGGCAGGTTCCATTAATGGACTATTTTATCTTACAGGAGAGATTAAATCTCTGCACAGAGAAGCACAAAAGCGCTGAATCAGCAGTTGGCCGGGGGTGGCAGGTTCAGCCATGAGCATTTGGCTCCAGAACAGCCCATCAGTGCTTCACCCTCCTGCAGCCGTGCTATGCTGGGCAGTGCCAGCCCCAAGCACACCCCACACACCCCGTTCCCTGCCTGGTGAGTTCCGGGATGGCCGGAGAAGCCACAGGCAGCCCCAGCCCCCTCATACTGCCTGGCAGCCCCACGCCAGCCCTGTGCCATGCTGATGGACACGAGCAAGCTGAGTGCCTGTGGCATGGGTGAGCTGCCTTCCCCCCGCCTCCCTTATCATCCTCTGCACAGCACGCACAGGTTGGCAGGAGGTGTCCTGGTGCAGCTGCAGTGCCCACAGCAGCATTGCAGAGCGCTGGGGTCCAGACTGTGAACTGGGCACAGCCTTCAGTATGTGGGTCCCCAGCCCATCCCTCCCTGGGGGCTTTGCTCCCAATACCCACCCACACCGCCACGGGGCCCCTCACAAAGCCATGTCCCTGCTCCCACAGACACGACTCTCACACCCCACACTGGCTCTCAGGCCAAGGCAGAGGCAGAGTGGCCACTCGCCCCCACGTGCCTGCACACGTGTGCACACAGGAGCAGGAGTGTGAGGCCCCGCCGTGAGGAGCCGGGGAACCGAGCAGGGATGGCACCGTGCCGCTCACTAAAAGCATGAGTGTCACTAAATCAATAATTCATTTACTTTAATGAGATAAGTACTTGGAAAACTAATTGCAAACCTGCTCCATTTACTCCAACCCGTTATAGCCTTTAATGTAAATGGCAGGAATGCTGCTGGAGGAAGGGGAAGGGCTTTGGGTGGTAGATGGTGTTGATCTTCCCCTTCTAAGAAAGAGAAATACCAGTCATCAACTGGGACACTGGAAGCTGAAGGAACTGATGGAATCACTGTGTGGAAGTGCTGGTGGCAGAATCGCTGCATGGAAGAACTGATGGTGGAGTGAGGAGAACAGCCGGCCCTCTCCCCAGGGTCACCACCCTCCCTCTGTATATGCTGCCAGTACAGAGGGGGTGTACCAAGCTGGGATGGGGCTTCACTCTTCCCCTGTGCCACAGAGCCCCAGCCGGATCCCCCCTCTGGCTGTGCCCCCGTGCAGGTGGTCACTGTAACCACTGGCGGCTCGTTATAAACTCACGGCTGCATCGCTGGCACAACATCCTGCACCGCCACCGGCAGCTGCCAACTCCTCTGCCTCAGCCGGCACTGCCCCTTCCCACCCCTCTGGCCCCTGCTAGCCCCCGTGTGCCCAGGAAGCCAGAGTGAGCAGGGGCATGCTGCCAGGCCCTGGCACTTTCCTGAAAAGGAGCTGTGGCTCCCGGCAGCGATGCTGCCGCGTTCCTGAACGGCAGCCGGAGCAGGAGCTGGGCGCCAAGGGCTCACTTCTCACTTGCTGGAGCAAATGGCAGGTCATAAAAAGGAACTGTGACAGAAGAGAAAATGTTCCAGAGTCCACAAGGACCAGTCCAGGGTAAATCCATCTGCTCAGCAATTTAGCTAGAAAATCCTTTCCAATCATCTGTGCTGTAGGTACTTCACTCCCACTGTGCGGCTCCGGGCAGGGCCCTTCCCACTCTGGTTGCTCACACAGGGGTCCTGGTGATGGGTGATCCCACAGCATCTCCACTGGGGATGCTCAGGGAGGGGGCCGCACCTCGGGGAGGGGTCACACTGCCCCTTGCAGAGGGGCTGACAGTGGCACTGGCTGCAGGGGCTCTTCCCCAAGCTGCCACCTCACTCAGAAGAGCACATCATCCTTCCCAGGTTCTGTATCCACAGCACCATTTGGGAGGGTGCCCAAATTCCATGTGGAGCTACGTGACCAGCCCTTGCACCTCCCTCGGGCAGCAGGAAGGAGTCTGCCCTGGGAGCCGTGGCCGAGGATAATCCCGCCTGGCTGAGGACTCCACAGCTCAGCCCTGCACTGCCACCGCAGAGATCTCCCTGCAGGCACCCCGGTGAATCCCACCTCAGCCACTCCTGCTTCACAGAAAATCAATGGCAAGCATCTCAATTAATCACACCGGGGGCAAATTGATTAGGAGCCTAAATAAGGTCAACATGGTTGTCTGCTTATAGGGTAGGAC